ATACACTCAGTAGTCACGCTGAAATGAAGACAGGATTGGAAAATATCAACGACGCACTGATAACTAGTTACTTCGATTGTAATCGGTTAAATTCACCGAGAATATCTATATAAAACCTTATAGTGGTTTTATTCATATATACAATAGCAAATGAATTTTGAAGATTTTTATACTATCCACCTGACATAATGTTCTAAATTAGAGAACAGATATATAGATGGTGAGATCATATATTATTCAGTGTAACTTTGATGTAGTTGTGTCGGTGATGGATGTGTTTAGTGTATAAACTCTTAATCTGCTGTCTCGCCTTATTGCTTACATCAAGCCGAATTAGTTCTTGTTCATTTATAGGAAGTAGCAGTTTTCCAGTCATTACAAAAAGAAAGTTATTATTTCCTTCGCAAATAGCCAATACTCATAAAGGTGGGAGTTTTAATAATCAGCAGACTAGAATCAGTCGTTGAGCCACTGAAACCACGGGGCATTGGATACCTATTATGTCATAGCCTGGGACTCCTTATAATTAAGTAGCCGGAATCCAGTCAGAAATCAAAATGATGGAGCTTCAAATATCGTAGTAAGTGTATCACTTTCTTACCACTGGTTCCAAATCCGACTTTATGTAGTCCCAACCCACCATATTGTGCGAACAATATTAACTGTTATGACTAATATGTTACAATTATACTAGGACGAATAATTTCCAAGCTGAAATCAATCAGTGACGTAATCTATAGTAAAAGCAAACCAATATCCTCAAGAAAAATATTAATCAGTCACCATTTGGTGAAATTTAACATTTAGTTTTGTTTCTGATTCTTACTAATTATTTGCTTCATTTATGATTTCCAGGATATCAACGTTTTGCCCATATAAAGTAGTGAGCGGTAATTCACTTGCCCAGTTCTCTTCATATCTAAAATATTATTTCCCTAGATAAATAAATGGTTGTATAAATTAAACTGTCTTTTCCGTTTAATTTTCTAATAGCGATTAATGAAAACTTTCTCTTCTACTACCCATGAATAGGTTCTCGCTGACTCCATTGTGGTATATAAATATTAAAATAGTTTATAACACTAACTCGTAGAAATATTTTCTAAAAAATATGATACTTTTATTTTGGTCTATATATATATGGTGTATGCTACTTATGTGGACATAAGTAGTATATAACACGTCAGAAGTGGATCGTCTAGCAGCAGAAGGTTGGGATGATCGAATCGAAGAGAACGGGAACAGAGGTCAATATTTTTAGCGATGAAGAAACAATGACGTTCGAATCAGTTGGCGGAGATTTTGCAAATGAGGCATTGAACGTATGGTCCTCACATTTGATGAAAGAACTCCGAAATTTCGTATTAAAATGCATTTGTTTTTTCCTACCTGGGTTTTCGTTCATTACATATATGTATATCCAATCAATTGTAAAATCAAACAAACTAGTTTTTGCCAGGTGAGGGGACGGAAGTATGCATTCATATGTCAACTCAATAAATAAAATATGATAAGTCGAGACCAGTAAATGACCGCCAAAATAATCTCACATAAATGAAGTTGGGAATTCTATGAATAGATCTGTTGCAGCCGAAACAGAACTATTTGAATGTGTTAATGATAGGTCTGTAAAACTTATGTGACTCAACACAAAGAACGAAAGCACTGATAGCAAGGGATTTATTTGACACCAAAAGTACGTCATAACCACATCTGAATAAACTGATTTTTATAGGAGCTGCTTATATAGGCTAATAATCAGATTCGAGTAAATTAAACTGAGCAGCACTTGTCACTGATCAGTCGATAACTCACAATGTGTGCAGTCAGTCATAGATAAGATAGAACCCAAAATATATGTAGATCAGTCCAGCAAGATAAAATCATTAAGAATGATACTAAAGCAGTAGAACTATCAACAGAAATTTTAAAAAGTTGTATAGAAAACGTGATATAACATGGTAGTACGCCTTGGTTTTCCCCCTCTAGTCTTTTAAGCCAGCCATGATCTCACGTCAAATTGGGCAATAGTTAGACATACTTAAAGTATGTCTTGGCTACCTCAATCAATGATTTACAAACTACCCTATGCAAAATTTCTACACTCCTCACTCAGTGGTTCCAACGCACATGAACAGTGCTTCAAAGAAACCTATGACGAAATTATAGTAAACTCCGAATGCCCTGTGCTTTTGATGACCATCAAGTAAAACAAAGAGATGTACTAAGAAGTTTGCTGATCCTTTTTCGACAGATGGACATTCCGTCTTCGCCACAGGTAATGTAGTTTGCCAGAAGCCAAACAAGATTTTGTCAGGAAATTCACAATAAATGAAGTGATCAACACCTTATCACTAGTCTTAGCCTGTATAAACAAATTAAGAATGATTTACAAACGAAATCCTACGAATTACGTGTAAAACTGACTAGTTATATATTTCCTTTTTTTCAATATCTTCCCCTTTTCATTTAGAAGTTATCTGAATGGGTTCATAGAGGATCAAGTTTATCTTTGGTTATTTTCTATACTAGTCTGAGATATTTTCAAACTAAAGAAATACTCATGCTAGTTATTGCACAATTCAGTGAATACGCGTTTTTTTCTTCAACTTATCAATAAAAGGTACACGCAAAAATTTTGAAATTCACAACCAAACTTCATTCTCTGAACAATAAGTGTAAAGAAAAAATCGCGTACTTATACTAATAGGGAACTGTTAGCTTAAAACAATTGCAATAATTATCATGGCTCATTCTGATAACATTGCACATAAATAACACTAGTGTATATAGTGGACCACCAATAATTTGGAATTTTCAACGTAGAGAAATAATAGAAAATAACAATTATTTAGAAAAAAATAATTCTAAAACCATTTTTGTATAAATTTATTGTGATAAGATAAATTATGAATTCCAAAGGATGTACTTAAAGCAAAATGTTAAAGTCACAGTACAGTAGTGTAATTCCCAAAATATCTGAGGTTAAATCTACTGTGTATATCATTCACTTATTGATTTGCACCTTAAGTCTGAAGAAATTCTAATCCCCCACAATTGTGCATCCTTTTTTACGCACATATATACATACGCAACCCATAATTTAAGAATTGCAAAATGATAGGAGGGAAGCCACTATACAGATTCCCCTGTAAAACACAATGAAATTTATAATGATAATTACAAACTTTGTTAACAATTTTAACATTTCGATGCACATTAAGGACGCCACACTTCACTAGAAAAAAGTTCTAAGTAATAAGCAGTATATTTGCTCTGGCTGTTTGTGCTAATTTAATTAAGTCAAGCAAAGTGTTCAAGCTGAAATATATATATATATATATATATAGTGTGAACAGAAAAAAATTAGTAATGTGTACTAATATAAGTCTATAACCTATTTTATTTAGTAGTCTAACTTACAAATTAAGCCAGTCAGACTGTTTGTTATTCGTATATGCAAAATCTGTTATGACGTTAAATGGCTAGAATTGACTGAGGGAAAAGCCTGAGATTCCCATCCGAGTTACCTACGAGGCGTATCAATTCCATAAAGAGTATCGATATATCTTGATGATGAGTACCAACTAATACAAAACCCAGACCGAATCTCCTGCCAATTAATTCCAACTACATAAAATCAAAACTTATTGAGTTAATCAGACTAAACGACACAACAATAAAGTCGATAAAATCCAATGACCAAGGAGTAGACAAACAAGAAACTAGTTACTACCCAAAGATCAATCAGTGTAGAAAGTCGGTTGATCTAACCTGTTAGATACAATGATACCACGCAGGACAAAATGCCCACCCTTACCCTTACCGTTTGTATGAACACTACTTAACACCATGACATAAGTTTATCTGATATCCATGTATTGAACAACTATGGATATGAATTAGACTGGGAAAAGGTCGAAATATTAAACAAAGGCTGAGAATTTTTAGAAGCTTGAATCAGTAGAAATTGAGATTGACTGAATCTATCAGCCAGTAGGATAAAGAATTAACAACTGCAAGATAAGGGAGGAGACAATCAAAACAAACATGAGAACAAGGATTACGAAGTAATGGACAACAAAAGACTAACTTCCAGATCAACAGAAGCCAATATTCAGTTATGAAGAAATTCTAACAGCTCACTTCTCACTGAGGTACGTCCTGATGATATTACCCAAAAGAACAGTGAAAGCTCCACAATCGAACCACCCAACTCAGAAAACACAATACCAACACAACCACAGTTTCTCGTTTATACCCTTTTGAGTCTTCTCAATATAACCACATGTTCTGAAATTGAAAACTTATAAACATGAGCTGTACCAGTCAACAATGGTCGACTTCAACTAAAATTTTCATACGCATCACTGCACTAGATAAAGACAATGTGACCGGAAATTTTTTTCGAGTGAATAAACAAAATAATTGGCTGTAAGGGAAACCAAAGAAACAGTGTTGTAACTTCACCTGTAAAAAGTGTTAATCAAAGTCATGATACATATTTCATAAACAGTAAAAATATTACGCTATATGACTAATGTTATTTTATTTAAGGAAAAATACCTCATTTACTTACAAAGGAACGAAATTCAAGAGACTAATACATTGTGTTTGCATATAACAGTAACTAATGATATGGGAATTATTCAAAAACGATGGATATCATCAGAATTCAAAAGCAATATGCAACTAATGAGAAACACTAAAACTGACTTACTGACAAAGTATTCACTACAGGTATAAAAAAAGTCAGTGTGAAAATCAATAAAACATGTCAAGCATGAAATACAAACAATGGACAATTAAACTTCTTAATTTATTTTGATTTTCATTTCTTTTTTTATACCAAGTTTTAACTAAGCCCACTAACTTAGTAATACTTCAGAAAATTTGGTGTTTAGCACTAAGTTCCACAATCCAGTCTCTTAGTGGCTATGAAGATGGAAGACAATGAGTAAATTCCAGATATTTGAATTTAGTTACCTTAAAACTACTGACCACTTTATTTATTTATTTGAACACATAAATATTGGTACAAGGGGGCACCAAATATACATGTGCCACACGAAACAATGAGAATGGGAAGAGAAAAAAGAAGGTAAGGTGTGTGAAAGAAAAAAGGACAATAACGATCACAGATTCGTGTAAGGTAATGTAATAATAATAATGGGGGAAACAGGAAGGTACAACCCGAAGGATCCTTTCAGTTACGGGAGATACAACCACTTTTTATAAAGAAAGTAAAAGAAGGTTACAGCAGGATCTCCATTGGCTTCTATTCTGAGCCATATCCAATAACGTCTCTAGCCACTGTGTTGCACCATCTCTCGGACCCCAGCCAGGGAGTCGTGAACGATCAACAGGAGCCAGCCGTTCGCAGATTTCTTTCATACCACGACACCATGTCATACACTGACCACCTCTCCGCTTCTTCCAAGCAGTCCCAGTGTCGACAAATAATGCACGACGTGCAATTTTCTGGGATGACATTCGTAGAACATATCCAATCCACCGAATTCGACGTTTCAAGATGGTGACACCAACTGAATTATCGTCTCTGTGCCCGAACACACGATACCGAACCTCTGCATTACTAACATGGTATTACCACTGGATGCCAGCAATCCTTTGGAGACAGCGATGATCGAACACAGAGTCGTCTAACGTCCCCAACTCGGAGAGGCCAGGTTTCACAAACATAGAGCGAAACTGCTCTCACCGACGCGTTGTAGATTCGACCTTTTACAGCCAGACTAACATCACGAAGGCGCCAAAGATGGCCCAGATCAGCATAAGCCGCTCTGGCTTTCACTATACGCGCACTGATCTCATCACTCACACCCCCACCAGCATTTATGCAGCTACCCAGATACACGAACTTCTCGACTACTTCTATCTGCTCACCATCCAGTGTGAGTACAGGATTAGAATCCTGGTACAAAACTAAATGTAAGCTGATCAGATTCTCAAAAACCGGATTAAACCGAGCCAGTCCAAGACGGTTTATTAGTCAACTTTACGAACAAACTGATTTCTTTTTCTGTAAAAGCAAGATATTGTAATGATAATTTTGATATATCGTTTGCTTTGACAACAAATAATGTATAACAAACTACTTAGATATTGATACTACTAGTGCTTTAGTCATCATTTAAGGAATACAAAAAATAAACTTCACATTCAATACATGACTTAATGTCTGTATGAATTAGTATTGAATAGAGTGTAGAACTTAACAAAAATGATTCACTTAACAAGAAATTTAATTGAGAAGCAAATCACAGAGAGAAAAACTGTACTCATTTACTGTACAAAATAGTATGGGTCTGAGTACAGTAATGGAGGCATATCTACATGAAATTTTTCTGATTTGATAAATACAAAGAATCACAAATTTTGACATTTTAAATTCAGTAAGTTATCTGTAATTGATGAAGAAGATTCCGGTTTATCAACCTGGATATCACCATGTTCTAGAAGAATTTTCTTATGAGTAATGTTCGGTTTCACCGATTCACAATTAGGAGTTGAACGTGCTGAATTCGGACGTCTAACAACACCCAAATCAGATGGAATACGCCGAGGAGTATTGACCTTAGGAAGAGGAGAACATGTCTGCCCACCGATACGAGTAGTGCCAGTTGAAGGTCGGCTGTTTGGTCCGTTATTTATAATCGATGAGCTGGAAGTGAGTAAACGAAGAGCAGCAGGAGAGAGTAGCGACCGTGATGGACTACAAAATAAATGAAATTTGAAATCATTTAAAAAGTCTGAATATTAGAATTTTGAAACTAACTAATGTAAAACACTCAACATCCCAAGAGAATTAGAAACAGCATTTCAATGAATACAATGTTATTCAGTCGACTGATACGGGTTTCTGACCAAGGTAAGTTTTCATCAACATTGATTTAACCTAACTAACCAAGTCTGGCATATCAATGATTTCCTAATATAAAAGGATTTAAGTAGACTGCAATTGGACAATAATACATTAAACTGATAAATATAAATCAGGTTACACTGATTTAGCTACAATACAAATAAAGATTTATGAATTACTGACATGTTTAGATGAAAAAATAGAGCAAGACTAAAATTCGTGCATCGAATGCAAAAAATAAGTTTAATGAATGTGTTGAAATACTCCAACTACGTGGAGTGACGCATGATAGTAGCACAAATAATTTGTTTGAAAATCGTTACCACGACATAGCAAAATAGAATGACTGCATCTCGGTCTAGATTTATTTATTTAAGCAAATAAACATTGGTATAAGAAGGCGCTGAATACATATGCGTCACACTTCATCATTCGATTTATGTGAGGGCTTGAATACTGGCCGGGTGCCCAGATCGAAGCAGGTGGTTTCTTTAGGAGACCACTCCCTGAGCCTTTGACCTAAAAGTCTGATCCACAAGGCAGTGGAGCAACGTCAGAAGATGCAGTCCCATGGTAGCCGGTGACCAACAATAGATCCATATGCCATTTGTCCACTCAGGATCCTAGAGCCCATGTGAACCATTGGTTGGAAATCAGGGATTTCCGATTCCCCTTGGTGTATACGCCGTACCCACTAACCTGGCTAAAGCGCCGGATATTCGCTTTTCGTCCCCTCAGTTTCGTAAACAACAGCCCGACTCGAGAAGGTAGTGAATAATACAGAGGCTGTATGGACGTGGCCCTGATTCCAAACCAATGGTGCACATGGGCTCCAGGATCCTGAGTGAACAAACGGCGTGTAAATCTATTGTTGGTCACCAGCTGCCACGGGACTGCATCTTCTGACGCTACTTCACTGCCCTCACATAAATCAAGTGACTTGTGTGACGCATATCTATTCGGTGCTTTCTTGTACCATTTTTTTATAATTTTAAATGAAATTTACAAACTTAAGTCTCTCAATTGAGATTGGACCTAACATTAACACCAAGTAATCAGCGGCTTCAGCAGACATGAATAATCCTTGAAAGAACTTACTACCAAATGACTGTTATGTACACCTCCCCTTTATAAATAATGGTCTTGACTTAATTATAAAGTAACACAAAGATGACTTCTTCACAGTACATTTGTTGTTTGATAGGTAACATCATATCGCATATTCATCCTACAACTAGCTTATGTTGCAGCAAAACTTAAAGGAGGAATAAGATAAATTGGGACCAAAAACGAGTCATAAAAAATACCAAAGACAACATTCTTTTAGGTATGTATTTTCACCTTATGTACATATCTTACAGTATCAGTAATGCGTACATATACCAAGAATAAAAGTCATGTTCACCTTTTCACATCTAATCTTCTTACTTGTATGTGTCTGAGTTAAATTTATTTGTGGGAGAACTTATTGCTAAAATGTTAGTAAATGCTAAAACATTAGTAATTTTCAATTGTAAATACACTTACCTTGATGCTGCTGACTGCATTCTTTTAACTGCTTCCAAACGATCACGCACACGTTGACGACTTGCTTTATCTGCTAATTGGTGGGCAAGCTGTTCACGTTGAGAAGGAGATGGGATACGAAAGGCTGGACCACCAGATACAACTGATGGTGTCGTTTCGCTGTCATCTAGTCGGAAAGGTGTCGAATCCAATTCACCCCAAGTCATCAAAGGTGTGTGAGGAAACATTGCCATCGGTGAAGGGGAAGAATCAAGAAATTTATACCCAGAAGCCTGAGGAGTTCCGTATGGTGAGTTCATTTCTAAACCATTAAGACCGACACGACCCTGTTTAAAATAAAACCAAATAAGTAAAAACTTCACGTGAATATTTCATATAACCAAACTAGCTTTTGAATCAGAACTCAATAAACGGTTTATTCTTTTTCACATTAATAGAGACAAACGGTAATGTCCTTTCATTGATTAACTCTGAATTTGTTCTACAAGGTACAAAAACGATATTTCTGACCAGTATTTTCAAGTAAAATTATGTCAGTAAAGTTCAGATAGAACGTTAATCTATAGACTAAAAATGCGAACTAAGTAAAATCTACCTACTAATGCTCTCATTCAGATTAGAGTACTATACGTGAAGACTGTGAAAATGTCCAAACTGTCAGTCAGTCAGCTACAACGTAGGACCAAGCACATATATGCATCGGTCCAAGTTGTTATACCTCATTAACACAACAAGACGAACACCAGATTCATAGAAGTAGTGGCGATAATATATGAAAGAAAGATGGCATATAAGAACATATTACAGGAAGAATTATTTCGTAGAAAGATATGAAGTGATTTTAATTTCATAGTTTAAGGGAAGACAGTTAGTGTATACACGGACGCCATTGTGATCGATTCTGAGATATGCTACCCACAGTCTCCAACCACTGGTTACAATAGTCATGCGGACCGCAATCAAGTAGTCTGCATGTACCAACATGGCTCAGACCATAAGTTATAAACTTCAAGCACTGATGCTACGTTTTGGTTTGTCTACCCCAGCTTTTTTCCAACCATCTCCAACATTGTGCGACGTGGTAATCGGTGTTTAGGCTAAGCAACATGTGACCCAACCATCTAAGTTCATGAAGATTCACAACCTCATCAAGTGATTTAACATCATTCCCTAATACCCTGAGTCTAACCTCACTATTACTTACCCGGTGATCCCAACAGATGCCAACAATATTTCTAAGACATCTGTGGTCAAATACTAGTAACTTACGATTATCGTCAACTCTTAATCGCCACGTTTCGCAGCCGTAAAGTAGAACAGAGCGAACTGCCGTGCAGACACCAAACCATTAGGGCTGATCAGACTTCTAAGGTAAATGAAGTTATCGACGCGTTCGACTATTTCAATCTCTATCCTTAGTTCAGGTGTTGACGCAGGCCAATCTTGGAGCAACAACTTGCATTCCAAACATCCTGAAATTGTTGCTCAGTGCTACCAAAAGACTGTGCATTTCATCAGCGTTTTCACCAAACAGTACTATGTCATCTGCGTATTCTAAGTCGATAAGTGGACCTCCTGGTAGGAGATCAATACCCGGGAATTCAGTCGACAAGAATGTTATTTCCATCAATAGGTCTATGATGAAGTTAAACAAAAATGGAGAAAGTGGACAGACTTGACGGACACCACATGAGGTTGCAAAATCAGATGACAGTTCGCCATAAGCTCTCACTCGACTAGTAGTGTTCGTGTAAAGAGCCTTCATAAGGTTCATGTACTTCTGAGGTACACCTTGCAATGACAGACACTGCCACAAAATCTCGCGGTTCACTGAGTCAAATGCTGCTTTTAAGTTAAGAAAGACCACCATTGTCGGACGCCGATAAGTATACCTATGTTCTAGAACCTGACAAATGGTGAACATGTGGTCGATGCAGCCACGACCAGGTCTAAAACCAGCTTGATTCTCTCGTGTTTACAGTTCACGAGTCTTAGTTAAGCGTCTGATAATTATCGAAGCTAGTATTTTAGATACTATATTAGTTAAACTAATCCCTCTATGGTTGTCACAGGATGGTTTTGACCCTCTCTTATATATTGGGACGATCAGTGATTGCGACTAGTCAGATGGGATAACGTCCAATTTCCAGATCTTAGCTAAACTATTAGTCAACCTAATCGCTAAATTTGGACCACCGTCTTTAAAGACTTCTGAAGTCAATCCATCTGGACCAGCTGCCCTTCCTCATTTCAGATTAACGATAGCCTTTTGAACTTCTGCCAGAGTCGGGGGACCTACTTCAATGTTCCATTCACACTCTGAGAATGGTGGGTAGTTGTAAAGTAGCTGAAGGTCAACTGAACTGCTCCTTAAAATGTTCCGCCCATCGTTCTAAACGTCTGGACTGGGAGCAGATGAGAGTGTCGTCTTTTTCCAAGATAGTTTCACTTGCACTTGACTTATTAATTCCAGTTTCCCTTATTAGTCTATAGAGCTGTCTTGCGTTGCCTACAACCGCCGCCTTTTTCATCTCTTTTGCTTTTGTTGCCCATCACTGCTCACGGTTGTTCCTTAGACTTTTGCTTAACCTAGATCTGATTTATCTACGCTCTTCATCGTGTTTAGAGTCATCAGTACAACAGACTTAAAAGAAATCCATTGGTTTTCGTAATCCTTTGATTTAAATCACTAAAAGATTTCACTGCTGTTTCCACGACTGCTTTCCAAGCAACGTCTGGGTCAGACTTGTTTTCAGAACTACTTAAGTGTGACCTCAGTTGTTCCTGGAACCTACTATTGGTTTTCTCGCTACTCAATTCAGTCCTAATGGGTCTTTTTAGTGAGGCTTTTTGCGTCTAGTGAGGCGCAAGCAGATGCGTGCCCATATTAGAGCATGGTCGGAGTCCAAGTAGGTATTCAATAATGAGCTACAACCTTCTATCGAACCTCTCCAACGATGACTGATGGTAATATAGTCTATTTGAGTCCATCGCTGGTTTGGTGCACGAGGTCGCCATGTTAGACCATGTCTCCTTATGCTTAAAATTAGTGTTTGCTAAAAATAAACGATTGTCTGAGCACAGTTGCAGCAGACGATCATCATTATCCGTTTTCTGTGCCGGAACGCTAAAATAACCACCTAAATGTCTTTTTGTTTGGTTTAAGTTACCAACTTGGGCATTAAAGTCACCTCTTACGAATACTATGTCTGATCGTTTAGCTTTCTAAAGAAGTTCAGAAAGCTTTCTGTAAAATCCATCTTTCACTTCATCCGAGCTGCAGTCAATGTGAGCGTAAGCAGAAACAACGAAAAGGCAACGACGTGTCCCTATTATTCCGAGTTCTTACAGAGCCGTTCAGCCGAACAGCACATGAACGACTGTTAACGGGGAACCACTCTAATAGTGTTTGTTCTGACTTCGTACCTACCGCTATTCATACATTTGCCAGTCCGCGAGAACTAGCCATCGGGTCGCCAGATACACAGAAGGTGTATCTCGTCAGCTTCCGTTTTGCCGAGGTGAGGTCAAGTGAATGACCACACTAGGATCTTGAATGCGTGTTTCGGAGACACAATGGTACGAGATTCTAGGGTTTTAGCCAAGGAGGCCTGCTGACCGATTCGACAGTGTGTGCACGTTGAAGGCTCCAATGTGTAGTTTGGTGCGATTTTCAGTGGACTTGGGACAGCGTTTTGCGCACTAGGAATCGTTTGCTATTGTGATAATTGAAGAGGAAGCCAAAAGAGGAAATTCAGAGTTGAAAGTCGATGTAGGAGGAATAATAGGAATTGAAGAGGGAGGTTGATTATGAATACAGTGGTCTGTTAGAGGTATGAGGGCGGTTATCACTTCCCGGTACACACACCGTGGAAGGGTTTTTCTGGAGGTGCCTGAAAAGGAAATGGTGTTAGAGTTGGTCTCGGAAAAAGCCCATAACGTCACTGATGGAGAACAATGATTGATTATTCAACGAAGGACGTTCTTTTGGTGCAGTAATTTCTCATTACTGGTCAGTTTAATTGTGGTTAGGGTGAGCAAACGTTTTACCTCTACATTAAAGTAATCTCTGAAAACTTACACTATTTAAATAATCAGATGAACATTTATTAAGCACATAAGCTTTTATATTTCGGATAGGAGTATTACTAGATAAATCAACACCGATTAGTTTGGTTTAGAATTCTGTTACAGTACATTGCTAAGTGTAAAAACCAGTAATGGGATTTCGATACATTTTTAATATAAGTATAAATACTCAGAACTCCGCCTGAGTCCCTCGGCGGGTTACTGCCGGTCCCAAGCCCGGATAAAGGAGGAGGGTTGGGCATGGGGTTAGCGTTCCCATCCCGTAGAAAACTAACTCGCTAAAAAACGCTAACCAGAAAAAATTATTCAAACCTTTTAAACTCTGCCCTGGGAGTCAGAAGGTCTTCATTTAGAAGAACTATGACGCCTCATGATGAAAGCCGAATTCCTTCGGAAGTTACGAGGCCGATGCCCCTTCTGACAACCAGAGCGACCATTTATTTAGGTACATTGAATGTTCGTATAATGTGTGACACCGGGAGAGCCTTGAAATTGCTGCAGAAATGAGGAGATACAACCTAGAGGTACTTGGGATCAGTGAAACACATTGGACGCAAGTTGGACAACAACGACTAACTTCAGGAGAGCTTCTGCTATACTCCGGCCATGAAGAAGAAAATGCCCCACATACACAAGGAGTTGCATTGCTGTCCAAACAAGCGCAAAATGCGCTTATAGGATGGGAATCTCATGGACCAAGGATCATCAAAGCCTCGTTCAAAACTAAAAAGGAGGGCATTACAATGAATATCATCCAATGCTATGCGCCTACCAACGACTACAATGAAGACGCTAAAGATCAATTCTACAATAGGCTGCAGTCAATCGTCGAGAAGTGCCAAACAAAGGACCTGACCATTCTGATGGGAGATTTCGACGCCAAGGTTGGAACGGACAACACTGGATATGAAGACATCATGGGACGACATGGACTGGGAGAAAGAAACGAAAATGGTGAGAGATTTGCAAACCTATGTGCCTTCAATAAACTGGTCATAGGCGGCACCATATTCCCACATAAACGCATTCACAAAACCACATGGACTTCAACGGATCACACCACGCAAAACCAAATCGACCATATTTGCATCAACAAAACGTTCAGGAGGACTATAGAGGACGTGAGAACCAAGAGAGGAGCTGATATAGCATCAGATCATCACTTGCTGGTCGCCAACATGAAATTGAAACTCAAGAAGCACTGGACAATGGGGCGGACAATATCACAAAAGTTCAATACGGCCTTTCTTCAGGATACTAACAAACTCAACGAATTCAAGATAGTCCTCAGCAACAAGTTACAGGCTTTTCATGATCTACTCAATGGAGAAGGAACTACTGTGGAGAGCAACTGGAAGGGGATCAAAGAGGCAATCACTTCAACATGTCATGAGGTCCTGGGTCACAAGAAGCACCATCACAAGGAATAGATCACTGTTGATACACTGGATATGATTCAAGAAAAGAGGAACAAGAAAGCAGCAATCAATACCACTCGAACAAGAGCAGAACAAGACAAGGCACAAGCTGAATACACAGTAGTAAACAAACAAGTGAAGAAGAGCATCAGAACCGACAAACGTAAATATGTGGAAGATCTAGCAATGACGGCGGAAAAGGCTGCAAGAGAAGGGAACATGAGACAACTGTATGACATAACAAAGAAACTCTCTGGAAATCGCCGCAAGCCAGAACGACCAGTGAAAAGCAAGGAAGGCGAGGTAATCACCAACATTGAAGAGCAACAAAACAGGTGGGTAGAAAACTTCAAAGAACTCTTGAATCGACCAGCTCCACTGAACCCACCCAACATCGAAGCAGCACCCGCGGACCTCCCAATCAACGTTGGCCCACCAACAATTGAAGAAATCAGTATGACCATCAGACAAATCAAGAGTGGCAAAGCAGCAGGACCAGACAACATTCCAGCAGAGGCACTAAAAGCAGACGTAGCGGCAACGGCAAGGATACTCCACATTCTCTTCAATAAGATTTGGGATGAGGAACAAGTACCAAAAGACTGGAAAGAAGGACTTCTGATAGCGAAGAAAGGTGATCTCAGCAAGTGTGATGACTACAGGGGCATCACTCTTCTTTCAATACCGGGAAAAGTCTTCAACAGAGTATTGTGAAACAGGATGAAGGACTGCGTAGACGCCCAACTTCGAGACCAACAGGAGGATTCCGTAAGGATAGATCGTGTACAGACCGAATCGCAACTCTACGGATCATTGTGGAACAATCAATTGAATGGAATCCATCACTCTACATCAACTTCATTGACTGCGAAAAGGCATTTGACAGCGTGGACAGAACAACACTATGGAAACTTCTTCGACACTACGGTGTACCTCAGAAGATAGTCAATATCATACAAAATTCATATGATGGATTACACTGCAAAATCGTGCATGGAGGACAGTTGACAAAGTCGTTCGAAGTGAAGACCGGTGTTAGGCAAGGTTGCTTACTCTCACCCTTTCTCTTTCTCCTGGTGACCGACTGGATCATGAAGACGTCAACATCTGAAGGGAAGCACGGGATACAATGACATCTAGGATGCAATTGGACGATCTGGACTTCGCAGATGATCTGGCCCTTCTATCCCAAACGCAACAACAAATGCAGGAGAAGACGAACAGTGTAGCAGCAGCCTCAGTAGCAGTAGGTCTCAATATACTCAAAGGGAAGAGCAAGGTTCTCCGATACAACACAGCATGCACCGATCCAATCACAATTGACGGAGAAGATTTGGAAGATGTAAAAACCTTTACATATTTGGGCAGCATCATTGATGAAGAGGGTGGATCTGATGCAGATGTGAAGGCGCGGATCGGTAAAGCAAAAGCAGCATATTTACAACTGAGGAACGTCTGGAACTCAAAACAATTGTCAACCAACACCAAGGCCAGGATTTTCAATACAAATGTCAAGACAGTCCTACTGTATGGGGCGGAAACCTGGAGAACTACGAAAGCCATCATCCAGAAGATACAGGTGTTTATTAACAGTTGTCTACGCAAAATACTTCAGATCCGTTGGCCGGACACTATTAGCAACAACGTACTGTGGGAGAGAACAAACCAGATCTCAGCGGAGGAAGAAATCAGGAAGAAGCGCTGGAAGTGGATAGGACACACATTGAGGAAAGCAACCAACTGCGTCACAAGACAAGCCCTCACATGGAATCCTCAAGGCCAAAGGAAAAGAGGGAGACCAAAGAACACATTACGCCGAGAAATGGAAATAGACATGAAAAAGATGAACAAGAATTGGATGGAATTAGAAAAGGAGTCCCAGGACAGAGTGAGTTGGAGAATGCTGGTCGGCGGCCTATGCTCCATTGGGAGTAACAGGCGTAAGTAAGTAAGTAATAAGTACTCAGCTTAATTATTCTAATCGCTTCTTAATGATGAATAATCAATAAACCCTGATTACTTTTCTACTGGGTCAAACTTAAGAAACTTCATCTGTAAAACTGGTGGCTTTATCCTAGTTGGTGAAGCAAGGAAGAGTCGGGGATAGAATTCGTTCCGCTCATGGTATTAAAATCAGAGTCACGAATTATAAGCACAATGTACGAAAGTATTATATAGTCCCCGTAAAAAATAAATTAGAACTCAGAAAACCGCATAATGCTCCTTTAGATTAACTGACTATTCAATGCTCGCTTTAATCTTATGTCTTACAATGACAATGGGATCAAATCACAATTGATTAAAGTAACAAACCACAAATAACAGCTAGCACAGTACAAATGAACTGCCAATTCCTAACTTACCAGCTTTGCTGCAAGTAAATGTTTCATTGTACGTTTTTTTTCTAGATTTACTGGGAAAGGTCTCTTGAAGCGAGTATTAGTTGGTACAATTTTGCGTTCCTTTGACAAAAATTCCAGCAATTCCTCCCTGGTTTGAGATACACCATCAGGATTAAAATGAACAGCATTGTTCCCAGTAATTGTGACCCTAGGTCCAACAACAGCATTTGAAACACCAGGGAGAGCCAAGGTTTTTGAATCGTCCAAAGGTGCCTAGACAAATGATAACGAGAACTCAAGGTTGAACGTACAGGTGCAGAACACTGAAGAGAGGGGAAAAAAGGAGCCAGTTTGATTCTCTGCTTTTTTTCGTTTTCTTCAACTAGTTCGGCGAAGGATGCATCATCTTCCGTGGTATTATTAGCCATGTATTTATCCAAAGACATAGCAGTTGGATCACCTAAAGTCTCCAAGTTACTTTCCAATTCAATGTCTACTCTTTTCAGGGTTATGAGAATCGGTGCGAAGTGCACCTCTATCTTTAAGCTCACTGGATTCATCATCGGCTCCCTTTTCTTCGTTTGCGGTAAGGCTAGGGAAAAAATCGCGTTGTATTATTTTTCCCAGATGCTAAAATATAAAATGAAAAGATTGATAAACACTTATTGCGAAGTAACGTTACAAAACATGCACCGACCTCTTTTTGGAACATTTCTTGTTAACTACAAAACGTCATTTCATTACAGACAACTCAAAATATGAGATCCTGTAAATTCAGAGGATAAAAGTAATCTTGAGCACATGCAATGAAACTGATAGTCGTAAACAACAATGAGTTGACTGAAACATATTATGTACTAACCAGGAAAGAAGAAATCCTTCCCTAAATATCTATGGCCAATCAAATGAACATGGCAAATTCAGCAAATCTTAAACACAATTGAACACAGGATCTTAAGTAGCACAACATGTACTTGGTCACACGAAGAGCACGGTACATGTATACAGTTGCTCAAATAGCATGAAGAGGTGAAAGTAAAGAGGTTATCAGAAATAAAAAATATATAATCGAGTAGCAATTATAATATTCAAGACCTAGCACTAACAAAATGGCCTTGAAGACAATATAAGAGAAATAAATAACAAGTATTCTGGAGCTTCAAGTTATTTTGATATTTCTAACAGGCACCCCAAAGATACATGGTACAAAAGATAATCCTAAAATTCGTAACGGGTAATTAAAAATAATCTTCATCAATGTGTCGAATTGAATTAAAAAAATGAACTCATCAAATCAACAAAATGAATAGATTCAGACAGATCTAGTGATACCTCCATATATTCTTCTTCATCCCGGACTGTTTGAGTTGTGATTCGACCCTGGATTGGATTGAAACTAATAAGTTTCTTCTGACCACTAACATCGTGTATCACTTTAGACGATACTTGATCCATGAAGTCAAAGTAGCGTTCAAGACAGTTTTTCCGCTCAAAAATTGGACGATGTCAGGAGTCCAATTTTCTGTATTAGGTCATTTATCGCTTTGCTCATTCTTCTTTCTACCTGAGTACCATTTCAGATCCCGTTCATGTTTGGTGTGCGGCAGTTTAATTACTTTATTGCGCAATTTCCAATCGTGTTGATTGTTATTTGTTTGTGTCGTAAGTTCATTGAAGAATCATCAAGCCCCATTCTTCTGAATGAAACAACTTTGTTTTGTATGATTCTTATATCAGAGACGGATAGTCAATAGAACCTCTCCAAGGTCAGGAGTCTCTGACACGAATGAAGCAACGCCAACACATAGGCACAAGTAGTAGTGGTTCCACCTTGTACTTCTCATATGAATCTTTGATACTACACGCTGTTCTTTAAAGAGGTTTTTATATTATTAGTACAGTTAACGAGGAATCAAACTCGCCTGTTTAGGTTAGGTTGTTCTATATTGGGCAACAATCACATGTTGTAACTTTAAATTGGCCTATGGTGTCACATTATTCCTATATAAATCAAATAGACCAACCTTTCATATTAGTAATACCTTTTCTAACTCTTCACATTGTTGACATTTGGCAGTAGCTAAACGCATCGCCATTACGAAAGTTTGTTGTGACTCTTTATGGCTCCCACCTCTGCTGACTAGGTCTTTTATACATGTAGTTACCATTCGTTTTATATTCAGAAACAGCCAGACTAGTTGTTCAAGAAGACCTTTATTCAGATCATGGAACAGCGTGGTTTGAGAGCTAGTTTCTTATCATCAGCACAAAAAAGTTCTAACATTCAATATAGGATGATAGGAAATATAGTGCTCACGTAAAAAGGGAAGTAAGTAAATAATTATGGTATAACGTTTTGACATTACGAACCCTTAACTACCCAACTTAGACTGTCGCATGCTCACTTATACCTGAGTTACCATTAATGATACTACTAAATGTTATTGTATAGTCATTTTGACAGAAAACGGTATTTCTGTCTATATTAAAAGATGAAGAACAGTTACCTAACTTTTGGTTTGTCTTGAACAATTCAGAAGTGTCTGACCTTCAAATGGCTAGTCATCTTAAACAATAAAGGATATCGTTTTGATCACTACTTCATTCCTGCTCTGTCACACACAATTTCCTAATCTTCACTTTTTACTCCCTCATTAAACACTGTCTGGGAAATTGTAAATCAGTAGTATAAGAGTATTAGAATATTACTTTGAAATTATCAGACCAATGCATTTTAGAAATTCGACTAAGCTAATAGGTCTTCAACAACTTCAAGCCACATTTTATTTGAATGAAAGCATCCGTATAGACAAATGAAGTTACACTTTGTAGTCTTGTAGGGTGGTGTCGAGTCACGGTTGACTATGATCACCACTACACTGAGACAACGTGCCAGTTATTGAGTTAAATCCCTCCGTGGGTCAAAAACCAGAAGGCAGTTGATGGTCATAATAAGATATATTTGTTTGTAATCTCGTGGTATCGAAAGAATAACGAGGTCGTGCCAAAGATTACAAATGAAACTACTGAGCGTGACTGAGAGCGTGCAGGGTCACAGTCAACGGGAAAATGTGTATTTGTAGTACAGTCAAACAAGCAAGTACAGTAAAAAAAAATCAATGATACAACTGGTTATAATAATGATTGTTTCCATTATACCAATCTCATTCTCTTGATAAAAGTAGGTCACTACAACTTAATAATATTTCAGCGATAAATGAGGCCTAATCATGGGATTTTACACCATGATTTACAATTTGAAGTATTAAACTTTTAAATGTAACATATGCTAAACATCACTAGGTCGTAAAGTGTATTTCTGTAAATAAAATCAACTCCATGTAGATAAAAATTCACATTTATCAGTAAACAAAAATGTTTACTGAATCATGTTCTTGTGAGGAAGTTATTCACATTGTTTTCCTTGATTATGACATCTTGTATCCTGAACCTAAATGTATGTGATATGAAAATCCTTCATATAAATATATAAATCTAAGCATTTTAGTCTCCTCAATACCTTCAGAAAATTATATATCCTAAGTTGTGCACTTTTACGATACTTGGCAATCCAAAGAAGCCATCAATACCAATAAAATATTGATGTATTTCTGGTATCTGAATTTAAAAAATTGAATTTCTGGCACTTCGCGTCGTACTGAACCTTGAATTGGCAAGTCAAACCTTGCCATCAATACTTATAAGGTAATCACTAAACTTTATTAACTAAATTCTCTTATTTTCGTTTGATATTCCCTATCATTATTATGATTCTGTTATTATCATATAAAAACTTCAAAACACCCAGTTGGCACGTAAGTTAAGCATTGTTCTTAAGTTTAGAAGTCATTTTCTCTGAATTTATGTATCTTTAAAGTTCAAACACAAACAAGCTAGTTTAAGAACTTCGATTCTCTACTTCCCATATAAATTAACATTTATTTGCGCTAAAGTAATTTTATCCATTACTTTACTCCTATAGAAATATTTATTGTTTGTTTACCCATTTTAAGTTTCTTTATAACTTAAAAACTTCAGCCTCTATTCAACTATTTTCCTTTACTTATTTAAATTACCTCAGGCTAGTTAACTCTAACTCATAAAATTAGCCTAAAGGCAAAATGTAGGTTAACATTGTTCTGGCATTGTCACTGCGAACTTTTATATTTTTTTAATATGTTACTTTTAAATTCTTACTAGCTAACCTATTCATTTGTCTTTCTTTCGTACCTTGTTTCGCCTCATCTCATCATACTCCGTTATTCTTTATCGTTTCTCCTTTCCTAGAGCATTCCTAAAGCGTTTCTTAATCATTCATCTGAGCCTGTGTAACACTGACATACAAATATGTATCTATTTATAATAAAAAATGCCTTGAGGTGATCATTCAGTATTGGATGTTTTAAAATCGGAAACACGTTACTCTCTACAATATATATAAACGATAGATTGTACAAGATGAATAAAATTGCATCTTCATAATAATGATGATATTCGTACAGGTTTACAATAAATAAACTATATTGTATTATTTGGAAAAAAGTGAGTTCAACCAAACATGTACAATACGTGGGTTCTAAAATTTAAAAAATTTATTCAGTTAACATGATATTAATAAGTAAATTAAATTAAAATGGTATTATTTGATATTTTATTGTATTAATTATGTGTTAACGGTACCTCTTATTCATAACAGTTTTTTCATTTAATATCGAGTGATCATTATCAAATGAATATTATTATTATACATTAAGTCAAAAGTTGCATAAATCCATTGATTTATTTAGGTATTTTTTACATTAACATGAACTTATGTACCTGCATCCCAGAGTTGATGGTCACTCAGGGACTCGAACCCAGTACCGTTCGCTTTGAACGCCATTGCGCTATCCACTTAGCTAGATAGTCACCTGATTGTGCAATCTGGTGAAGTTGTATCCACTTGATGTTGTTCGTTTGTGTGTTGCCATTGTTATTTGAGACTGCAATTGATCAGTGTGTTGTTGGTGGAAGTGTCTGGTGTGCGCACTGCCTCGAAATTGCTCGAATGGGATGAAGTTTAAATTCACTTAGTGTTGTTTTACTTGTATCTTCCCATTGTTATTTAGGACTGTAATTGATTAATCTCATGTTGATAAGTCCCAAATAAAACGAAATGTGCTTCCTGGATTCCCCTGCTAGCCACTATCCATCTTTGCTTAAAAGGCTTGTGACTTAAGGCTATATCAAGGCAATCCTCACAGGATGCACATATGCCAATAAGAGATTGATCAATTGCAGTCCTAAATAACAGTGGGAAAATACAAATAAAACAACACCAAGTGAATGAACTTATGATATCTGTTTTAAACAATATGTACTAAAATGAACAGAAGTATCCAGAAAAAAGTATACTAAATTTATCTTACTGAACATATATAATTTACTCTTACCTAAAGAACTAATTACTTGTTTTTCTATTTAACTATTTTTTTGTGTTTTTATATTCTTTAAAATTATGAACATAATTAAGCCATAAAAACACCAAGTTTATATGATCTTAATTGCTAGCGAATTCATCATTTAAATAATATATAATCCCAATAGTAAGAGATGAAATATATTATTGGTTACATTTGACTCAAAATCAATGAAATTTACTTCATATTTGAGTTTTCTATACCGTAAAGAAACCAAAAAATTAGATCAGATTTAAAAAAAAAAGAAAACTCATACTAAAGTAGGACTTCTAAATTCATAAATATTTAACAATAAGCACTTATTACTGAGAGTTCAGTCTAGTGAAAATTAAAAATAATAATAATAAACACTTTAGGTGAATGCATACACCTTCATAAATAATTATTATTTCAACTTGAATAATTCCAGAGTATTGGAGTGAATTGGTAGAACAATTTAGATCTGAACTAGTTCAGTCAACGAAGAATAATACTTCATTATTTTAATACTAATAACTAGAATTTTATATTTATGAATACGAAATGAAATTTTTGTGGTAAGTTTTTGGAAGAAAAAAAAAGAAATTTTGTGAAGTGATTTTATTATCATTATTATGTACAAATTTGCCACTGTATTCAACATATAATGAGGTATATAATTATATCTGTTTCAGTTTATACAACATAATGATACCTGAACAGATCACATCATTATCTGAATTATCATCTCATATACCAATATCAACTTCAATTCTACCTAGTACAACACATACTACTGAGTTGACGATTGATAGGACAACAGAACTTCTCAAACTTATACAGACAGCTTCTAATGGTCAAAACATACTCAAGCTAAATTGGATGAACTTTCAAAGTTCAAATGAGTTGCAAGAGTATACAGAACATAAAAATAAAGTTGATGAATACGCTAGTAGTAATCAAGGTGATTTCGTTAATATTCAAAGTGAATTAAATGTCGGCCTGAAAGATTTCATCAATCAATTACAACCATATCAGCAAACAGGGATGGAAAGTCATAATTGCGCAACTGACAACTCAGAGATCATTAGTACGTCTGAATCTAACAAATCAGTTACCATGATTCATGATAGTAGTGAGGTCAGTACATGGAATCCATCTAAATTATACCAATTATGCAATGAAATAAAACAGTATCAAGAGTATCCTGATGTTGACAGCAGATTATCAACTGATCTAATATTGCTTTTAAATACATTGAATGATTCGGCTTCGTCAATTGTTGCATCAGTAAAATTAGGCCCTAAGAACAGCATTAATAATGATAATAACAACCGACCTAATTATGAAGGATACAATATGATAAAAACTAACAATTTTGCAAACATTGAATGTTTTAATAAAAATGACTTATTGAATATAACAAATAATGAACGATCTCAAATGCAATCAACAAATAGAATCTCCAACAATAACAATGAACTTTTATTTACGGAATCACAAGAAAAACTCACAAGTGATCTTTTCAAGTCTAATGATAACATCAATTCTTTGGGAATCCAGCATGAAATTCAACAACAGCAACCACAATCTAAATTATATGATAATTCTAATAAAAGGCCAGTATTACACTGGGCTAAACTTGGTGTACCACAACCTGCCAGTCCTACCAGATATTCAGCTCCAGTACATATAGATGTTGGTGGTACACTATATACATCTTCATTAAAAGCTTTAACAAAGTGAGTGAAAATTTTACTAACTACTAACATATTACTAGTTTAAATATAAAATTATTAATCAGTATAATATCCCAATTGTTAACTATTAGACAAGATGATTGGGTTGAAATTTTCGTCTCAACTTATCCCCATACCTCACAACACAATATATCATCTTTAGAAGGTAACTTAGGTATACTACGAATATTTTTGAAAAGAAATATTGATGATTTGAAACAAAAAAGCTAATCATCTTAGTTCACAATTTATTGATCATAAAATTGTATCATGATGGATGTAAGTGTTTGTTATGTATGTTTCATTAACTTTGTGAAAAGATCAGTCAGATATATTTAATCAACATCTAAATAACGCCTGAAGATACACAGTTATTCAATGGAAAAATAGCAAATTCGATACTGTTTTATTCATACTTTGTTTACAATTTTAGACATATATTGCTTTATTGTAATTATCTAAAACCAGTTATTTGAAAATATTTGGTGACAAGCTAGCATTATTGTAAAATAGAAGATATTAATCTTCTGAAGTTTGATACTGTTTACTCTTTCCTAATTATTTTATAACTCTTTGGAAATTCGACATGAAATTCTTACTTATGTTACAATGGAATATATAATATATTCTTTAAAAGCAGGAAACTATTGGCAAAATCTGTCACAAAGGTAATATATTCTCAAAGCGGTACTTTAAAAAACTCCACTTCCTTGAAAGTAACTAGCTACATGAGTGAGTTGTGTTGAAACACGTAAAAACCAAATTTATAATTTATACAGATACATATTTTAAATTACCGTTTACTGAATCGCCGAAGCGTAGTTGTTGTACCAGAAAGACAATGAATGTCAGGTTTACATTGACGCAGTATATTAACCAAACACTTCTACTGTAATATCAATTTTCGTCATAGGTTTTATATTTTAGCAAGGGCAAGATAGGGTCTCAAATAATAATATCTTAATTTACACTGCGAATGCTATTAGTGCACCTTGATTTAAAAAACCCAGTGAAACATAAATTTAACATTATATCAAAGTACTTTTCTCCAATCAATAATTTTTTTCTTTATCTTAAAATATGTAACTGTACAATAATAAGAAATATCCGAATTATCGTATTAACTAAGAGTTCCGGAAACAGTGCAATTTAAACCAAACAAGACTAGATGAACACAAATGAACGTATTGTATTTGGAATTCTTAATAAGCATGGAATCAAGTACAAAAAATCATTAATTCATACAAATACCACAAATTGTTTTGAACTGAAACACCAAACTTCAATGGAAAGACAGTGGTGTTTTTACTGTTATTCTAAATTCATTAATTTCTTACTAAAATGTAAAAGTATATCTCATATTTTCGCCACCACATCCTCTTTGAAATTTAGAAAACGTGACTAATCATGGTTGATTTTTGTTTAGTAACCTAACTGTCAAGTACAGGCTTATGTTCTTAACTTAAAGCCATATCTTAGAGGAAATCCAGTGATAATACCAGGTTTTTCCAACCAAAATCTGTGAATAGAGATTCAAAAACTGACTTATTTCTGAAGAATTGTGATTATTATAGTACCTCATCTAGTCTTTAGTTTTATTTGAGAAATCAAATAGAAGGTGAGGGAGTAAACTTTCTTTATATTATCAATATCGGCGAGACTATAATTTACGGATGAACCAATCAGAAATAAGATGACAGGTCTTGAATTTTGACGCGAAACTCACTCATCGATACTGTTTTGGCATTATAGGTGGTGTCATTCCGTAATGAAAACATTAAATCTAATTCCTAACCTTAACGTTCAACTGTAAATCATAATTCTAATTCCTCACACTGGTTTGTAATCTTCATTTGGTCATAGTTGTTAGGCGGATACTCTCAACATTACTCTAGCCTTGCTAAGTTTGTCAATAAATTAAAGTCTCACCGCGAAATCACTTCTTTTTATCGTAAATTAGAATCTTTATGGAAAATGTTATGATTCTGTTAAATTTAGTTTTAATAACATGACTAGTAAGTAATGTGTTTACCATAAAATATGAATTTCTTGTATTACATATCACAATGGTTTAGAAAACATTCATAAATCACTTCTCAAATATACCTATAATCATCAGTGTTTCTTTTTACGATATAATTTTAAAAACGTTTTATTTTCGAAATATATCATTTGAATGAAACATATCTCACAGTTTTCATTAAAGCAATGATCTTCTTTCTTACTGCATCCTGAATTCTCATTTCCTTCAATCTCATTCGTTGTAATAAGAAAAAAACACAAACCAGAAAGAATACCTTAGAATTCAGTAATTCCGCTCAATATTATAGATAAACTGATAAAATGTAAAATAGCACTATTTTAAAGCGTGACAACTGAGTAGGTTTTCTATTTACTAGTAAATAAGCTATCTGGAAGCTATTTCGTCATAATATCACATAATTAAGATCTAAATGAATTTGCCTTCTGGGAAATTATAACTTCTCTAGTTCATATACGATAACATACGCACAAACCACGTTTACATCAAAAAGGTTATATTGCTAAAGGCTACGCTGATCAAATCCCTGGCCTAGAGCAATCTTGACTTTGGTGATTAGCAAAAAATGATAGTTGAAGTTGATAAGAGCGTAAACTTAATCAGTAACTGGAGGTGAATTATTGTGAGTATATACCTAATACATTAATTCAGTATAAAACCTAGTGATATGCACCACTATCCATAAATCCATTATAGAAAGCATGAATTCTTTGATACTCGTGTGTGTATATGTGTATAACGATATGTGAACACAGACTCAACCTGAATAATTATAAAGTCGGCACATTCAAAATTCCGAGACGCTTATAAACATAAATTAAAGAAGTCTAAACTACAAAAACATATCAAATTAAACATAACATAATGAAATCATGATAAATGGAAATAAAATGAAATATTGACGGTTGTTATATATACAAAGACTGTTTAATTTGATGCGTGAAGAACAATCCCTTGAGGGTTAATTATAATAAACTTTGTTAAAATTTAACATGTTACATTAAATTCTCGACTATTTCTGCACACGGATTTTTAAGGATCCGTATGGTTTAAATATGATTTAGGAAGCATTCTGACCGCACTTCAACAACGGCAGTGCTTAGAAATACGTAATATATCATCCAACCAACTCAATTAACCGACATTCACAATCTCATCAATCGATTTGCTACCTTTCTATAGTACCCTGTGTTTAACCACACTATACCTCAATCAGTTGCCTCATAATGTATCCATCACAAAGCACCCGCACACTACACATATCTTCTACTTTCATAGTACATGTTTCACATCCACACAAGAATGCGATGCAAATCGATGTACAGAATACTCACCGTTTCTTTGATTGACTGACATCTCGCTTGTATCACATGTGATGTGAAGTGACAAAAACAAAGAGAGTTCTCTACATCCTAGCTGAGATTTCGTCAGGAACCAACCAGTTAGCATTAACTAGGCTCACAAGATAAGTGTAGTGGTCGACATACTCAACCACTTCATTCCCTATGCCAAATCTATGCGGTGGTTTGGGTGAGTCGTAAAGCAATATTTCGCACTTTGAGGGCGAGAAACCCACCTCAGGGAAGGCTAGAATAATACTCATATTAATGATCGTCATTTTTTTAACCGATTTTCTTAACAAATAGACCTCATCTAGTAGTCAGTAACAGTCTCACAGGTTGATTCGTGAACATTGAAAGTCATGACCTTTTATAGAAAATCCATAAATCTGACTGAAATTCTGTCTATTTTTAGTTAGGACTAGTTGGTGACTTCATTAAAAACAAAATTTTGATCAAGAAACATTATAAAATAAATCTTGGTAGCTTAAATACTGAGAATATATTAGTTGATAATCGTTAACATCTATCTATCATCTAGTTGGTATGCAGTTGCTGGTATTATGACAAGCCCACATGAGTTGTTCTAGCTTTCATATAGACCGATTTATTCATTCTTCTTCAGTCACATCTTGACCTTGTCACTTATTCGCTCATTAACCCTGACTGTGTTCATCGCTCACCCTATCTATTCATTATGCAACTGAAACTTATGTTTCGTTGGACTATAAATGTTAAGTTACGTTTCACTTAATCGAGTTGGCTTACTCGCCTTTTCCGCTGTTCGTCACTTCGTTTCGTTTTGCTTCGCTTTCTTCACTTCATTTCTCTGATTGTATGTCCGGATCAACAAGTGTACGAAATATACATATTCAAAATTCATTCTCTTATTTGGCATATTTTATTCTGTTCTCTAACGTGAATTAAGTCGATAATTATCTACAAGGGTAGCCATGATGTATCATACGATCAAACCGGAGAGAGATCACGACACCACAAAAGTGGTGAGCCCGTCGATAACCTCATCTACACATTATCACACTACAACAAAAAGCGCTCTTTCAACAATGTGAATTAGTATTCAACAATCGTGAACCAAACACCTGTGCAGCAACCAAGTCGTAACTGTTAATCTCTTAACTTAGTTACTGTTTGTCACCTTTCCTAACTTAACTATATCATTAAGTTAGAATTAATGATTAGTGTATGAAATTAAGTTATTGCTTACTGGCGTCCCGTAATAACTATAATCATTAGTTGGTGAACAAAACCAACTTTAAAATGAATGAAAGCTACATACTTTCAACTTGAATAACTTCCAATAGATTGAAAAGAACTTAGTTGTTTTACCGAACTAATTTACTAGTTTTCTATCTGTTCATCTTGTTTCTTCAACTTGAAATTCACATAATTGAATTGTTTAAATCGCTATTTGAATATAAATTATGTTTGATTGGAAAAAACGTAAAAAAAAAACTTCGAGTACAATCAAATAATTTACTATAGATTCATTGATATAACCATTAATGAAATTAAGTTGTATTCACAATTGATTGATCACTAAGTGGTGATCAATATCATGTGTGTCAGGTCCTTCTTAGTGCAGATCGAATGCTATCGATCAAGTTGCAATGTGGCCACTAGTCTAAGTGACTCGAGATTGCGTGCTTTATGTTGAGATAAGATGGTGGTTAGAGGTAGTCAACAGGAAACTCTAGACCCGGGTTTCATGCTATCTGAAATTCGTCAGAAACGTGTACCTGTAATCTTGAGGAAACTGGTACTCCCGGTGTCACTCAGCTTCATAGTTAAATCCATCAAATAACTTTGTAAGGTGTTTAATTTTCTGCATTAAAATTAAAATCTTATTTTTAACTCTTATAGAAGATTAATGTTATTTTCATCATGAATATATTTTTTCTTTGATGGAATAAATGTGATATTCACAATGTTGAACTTTTATTTTCCGACTAGATTTTTCAACTTTTATTCTTACTTCAGAGAATATTATAATGTAAAGAGTCAGTCTATTAATTATCACAAATAAAGGATCAGTTTATAAACATATAAGCTAATAAATCATCTTCAATTATAAAGTGAATCAACGAATTATCAAAAACCTAAATATACAGTTTTCAATATTATTCTATTCAAACTTCCTTCATCTTTATTTTTATGATAGATGCTGGTAACTAGTTTTCTCTTTTCAGAAAATGAATTATTTAAAATGTGAGTAAAATCTGAGAAACATACAGTAAATAGTTCATTTGCAAATTGTTAATCAATCGTCTTAGATTTTATTGATATTTCGTTTCCACACCAATCATTCTTTGTTCTTATTCTCTTTTCTTCGATTTTCTTAATTTTCTACCTCCAGGCATTTCACTTTCGATTGGATGATACATACTACTTATATCTGTCAACATAAGTAGCACACACCACAATACTAAGACATTGGAAAAATTCTAAAAGGCTATAAACAATTCTTAAGAGTACATAAATTGTTGTCCGTTATTATGTTAAAACAGACCACCGATCACTGTATTTTTTATGAATTGTGTAAGAATATTCCATTAGTTACTAAACTAAGTGAAGATATTGCTTTTCGTAAAATTTTCAGTGGCTAATCATGATTTATTAAGTTTACATTGAACAGACATTCCTATCGGTGGTGCAATAAACAGTTTATTTCATTATAGGCTGTTCATTTTGAAAAGTGATGATTTTCAAATTCATTTTGATAACTAAAATCTTATATTTATTCCATGGCAATTAGAAATTTAGGGCATAATCCCTATCAGAGTTGAAGTTTGGGAAATACGAGAACGAAGTAACAGGACCCTTACAGTATACTCCTAAATTCTGTTCTATGCACAAAATGAGATGTGTCATTCGTGTTATCGATTCTTTGGTGCAATTTCAGTAGTATTTGTGTGCCATACTTTTGTTAACATTGCATTTCACTTATCACATTTTGTCAGATTCTTTCATGTTAATAGCGTTTCAAGTAATATATGTAGAAATATGATCTGATCCGCTGGTATGTTGGCCTATATATAATAGTATTTTGGACGAATTCGAAGATATAGTACTTAACAGTTACTTTCCGATTGAGTTTTTTCAAAGTTTTCATACATAATCAGATCACAATTGATTGATCACTGGGTGGTGATCAATGTCATGCTTGTTTAGTCCTTATTAGTGCAGATCGAATGCTATCGATCATGTTGCAATGTGGCCACCAGTCTAGGTGACTCGACACTGCGGGCACTATGTATTGAGATTTAGATGGTGGTTGGAGGTAGTCAACATAATCAGATCTCAGGAAAGAGATTACCATTCAAAGTACATATTATCTCTATGTATTTGCACAATGTTATCCAATGTTTTGATTTTCCTTAGCAAGGCTGATAAATCTTTCCATATACATACATACTGAATACCATATAGATAATTTGTTATTACTTGTTATTAAACAGTGTTGAAATTCTTTTCGCTTCTTGTTTGACTGAATAGTAGAGTCCTAAATAAATTTCATGATAATATGTGGTGGGTTTATCGTCTAAATGTGATTAACTGAAGTTTGTTGACTGCTTGTTATTCACATAGGAAGAAAATACAACAGTATGATAAAAGTAAAAATTAAAATATGATACCATTATGGTTTCACCTCCGAGTTGGTAAAGCGTTTAGCGAATTACCCGTGAATTCTCGATTTCAATCTCACTGTTATTTATGTTGAATATCATTGTTACGAACACACACTCAATATGCCTTTTCGATTGATTTCTAAACATATAATCCTGTATTTGATGTACAAATGATCAATAATTTTATCTCAGTCAACATGACTATGTGAATGTACCTACCAGGTATGAGGTTAGTCACTAACACAGTAGAATCTCACACCTAGATTGTAGTCCCAAATTTTGATTTGAATACAAGTCATATGATTTCATACATTTGTGAATTCCTTTGAGCGACGAGCTATAAAGAACTAAAGATTTTCGCGATTATTTAAAGTTTTATAATCGTAATATTTTTTTAATAATACAGGTACCCAAACTCAATTTTAGGCAAAATGTTCAACGGGACAATACCAATTGTATTAGATACAATGAAACAACATTATTTTATAGATCGTGATGGGGTATTATTTAGACATGTGCTCAATTTTCTACGTACTAATAAAGTTAACTTAGATCCTAATTTTACAGAATTTGATCAGTTAGTGGAAGAAGCAACTTTTTATGGGTTAGATGAAATGGTTAATCAACTCAAACAAATCAAAACTGAACTGAAGAGGAAAGAAACAAATAATAGGAAGTGTGTTCATGACGAAGAAAATCACGAGACAGACATGCCATTTCCTCCCAAAAAACAGTTGAAAATTGATACTGCACAAAAGTCGGAGATTAGTGATATATGTTCTGATTCAATCGTAAACACTACGATAGAAAACTCCACTCTTCCAGAATATATAGCTAACAGTTCACCTTCACATCAAAAAAGCCGGTTTGGAAACACCTTGCCATCGAATAAAGTAACACAAAGTAAATGTTTCTTTATATTAATAGAGATTGACAAGATTTCACCACATCAAGGGAGAATGATCTTTTCAAAATGCAATAATCTAAGATTATCAGAATGTTTTAATGATTTAAATAATTATTTCGCTAATTATCCACCTAATTCTTATCAAATAACAGAATATGACAATCATTCTGAAATAACATGGTTTATGATGTCAACATACAATCAACTTAAACTATGGGAATTATTATTAAATCACAACTGTGAACTGACTATTCAATATCAAATAAAAAAAGCCGATAGAAATTGTAATATATGTTTATTTAGATCAAAGTAGTGCATTATGAAGAGGGTTTTTTTTTACCTTACCATTACATTTCTATTTACTTCGTTAATTTATTTAGTTTGTCCCCTCACAAAATATCATTAATTTGTTTTTGCAACAACTGAAAAGCAAATATTTTATTTATTAAAATATAATATCTATTTAGACGAATATGATTTTGTTTTTCAATTTTGTCTTTATTTTAACTAGTTCCTTGGTTTTTGATCGATAGTTAGTTGCACAATTTCCGCACTTCTTACAGTTTAATTGTCAACTTCCAAAGTAGATCTGAGTTTTCTATTCTTTATGCTTAAACAGAATATTGTTCCTTGATTGATAGGAACACTTTCTGTTTGATAAGTGATCCGTTCATGTTACTAACGATTTAGTCACTTATCGTCCATAAATTGATTATTTTGTTGCTGATGACTGTACCTACCACTCATAGATCTCTTGATGATTCCATTCCTTCCAAGTGGACCACATTATTATATGTAGTGGTATTAGTCTTAACCATACAATTCTAATAAAACACGTGTTAACCTAGCTTATATATGCATTGCATGATATCATATCTATGGCATTTGAACTTCACAATTATTTGAAGTGCCTTTAATGCTAGCGTATTTTTCGCTAGTTAGTTTTCTATCGCATGAGGACGCTAACCCCATTCTCAACCCTTCTCCTTTATCCGGGCTTGGGACTGGTAGTAGCTTTAGAGAGACTCCAGGTGAAGTGCCTTTAACACTTTCCACTAAACCCATCATATTCGTTGTTTCTATGCGTATTAGAGTTAACGAATTGGGCTACGATATCAGTTGTCTAAAAGACACTGAACTTAGTTAAAATAACAAAGTCACTCCATTAAGATAGTATCTTAAGGCACAAGTATAATAACTAAATTATCACGTAGTTGTTAGTCAAACAAGCATTTAAAATAAAAACCCTGGAGTCTACTACTAAAATTAACACCAAGAGAACAAATATTTCTGGGTCGCATTTTGTAATATGATCAGACAGATCGGATCCGTTGATGCTAAAAACGTCTGACATTTCTTAACCACCTCAAACGATAATGGTCGATTTCCACTAGTCAATCCACAATCAACACTATAGCCAGTTTTTCATAATGGTTTCTGGATATCGACATGATTGATAAAATTGGTGAAACTATTAGCAAACTCGTTCGATAAACTGACCTATAATTATCATCAAATAATGTTTTTTTTCTCGTGCTTATCTTTAACTGTTGTAAATGACTTCAGAATGTTTCTCTATAAGTTGCTCATTTAGTAAACATATTAGAACCTCTTCACTATGAGTGGAGGTTTAGCGACAAGATCATTCACGATAATCATAAGTATAAGCAGTCGCGCAAATCCTACAAACACTGGAAACGTTACCGTCGAATTTAATCCACCACTAACAGAAGTTCATGTGGTCATCATAGACATGAGTTGAGAACTAAACTTCACTTGATTGCAACTTGTGTTTTTCCCGATAATCATATAGGCAGCACCTAATGTTCATCATCTTGTGGGGGATCATTTAGAAGAAAGCATCGTACTACACTAATATGTGTGGAACTTAAGCGTAGTTGATTTCAACATTTTATGGTCGTTCTATTTTAAATAAGTCGATCTCTACCAAACATGAGACTTACAACTAACTTGTTTGCACCAACAACTGGTAAGTATGAATATAAATAATCAGTTTACTGCACATCAATATGCTGAGTTCAGAGCAAGGACATACTCAAGCTTAATGAATTACTGTTATCTGGCATGATTATCACTATTTTGACGCAATAAATCAATGCTTGATAGCGATTCATATTTATCAGTAATTTAAGTCACGGCTAAGCAATAACGAGGTCGACAAAATCTCACCCACAGCTAAATAAACCGTATTAAACTTGACAGACTAACTGCAACACTAGTTGAAATTTGTCCTCTCTGCGGTTTTACTTTCGCTCCTTCAGTTAACCCACTAATGAGAATGAAACAGTAAATCAACTCATACGGAGAGCATGCCGGTATATGCGTTGATTGACTTTCTAATTTACACCAAAGACCATACCAATAAAAACTATGATACACCATTACCTGTCCTTCTATTTTTAAACGCGAAATACTTATACGGCCCACACGTCAACCTATTAACCAACGGTTAATACTATGCATATTAATGTGACTTTTTAAAATATCTCAATAACCTCTCTCAAATTATAATATTCATGTAGGTTTTCACTTTGATCGAGTTGGGAAGTAGAAAAGGCATTTTGGAGTTGGTACATGTTTTTCACGATCACTTGCTACCGCGTTTTTTCATTTATCTTTCATTTTATTAGTGCCTGGAAGGTTCTTATCATTCTTTTGATAAGCTGCGGCATGCAAAAGTCTCACGTTGATTCTGGTGAGGAAGTAGCGTAGTGATATTCAAACCAACCGCACGATCCCCGAAGCAGAACATGAGATATTCGTGTAGCTTCGTATTCAACGTTTAACACGAAAGTCATTAATCGTGAACTCATGAACAATTAATCAAAATGGTAAGGCTTGGTCATGAAAACATGGTCACCTCAAGCAACCTCAATTTCTTGCGTCAAGTATGTTAATTTCTTCCTGGATCAAATGTGTTCTTCAGAAACGCTAGGCATCATATTGCTGATGGTCACGATCGTACGAATCAATGTAGACAATGATGGGAGTTCCATATAAGATTTTATAGATTAGGTAGTCGCATAATGACTAATCTACAGTTTTGGAATTCTCTCTATTATTATAGTAGAAACAATATCGAATAAGACCGCAATTCCACATGTCTTCTTTGTTATGGTTGGCTTTACAAGAGGTAGTCGGAGCGCTTTTTTAGGGTACAGATGGTCCTTCAGTTCTAGTATTAAATGTATCATCTCTATTTACACACAATCGACTAAATTAAGTTTTGCACGGTCCTTGATACCTACTATTTGTCGGAGGAAAGTGCTGTTCAGTTGCATGCCTGATCAGAACAAGCTATAATCCGTAATTAGTAAATAAACCTCCAGAAACGATAAAAACGTTCATTTACCTGATCTAACGGACAACTTATCAGGTGGTGACAGATCCATGCAAAAGCTAAGCATTAGGACTTCAACAATAACAAAACTTCAGTGAGTCAGCATGCATTACACCAAGGTCATGTCAACATACCTTTTGTCGTATACATATATCGGTTTCCAATTTTCCACCTGTATAATAAGCCCGTCTTCCATACGGTCGTCGAAATTTCAGGAAGTATGTGAAAGTCAAAGAGTATTGGCGTGATAATTAGTCAGATTCGCAACAAGTGTATTGTACGTCATACGTCTCAGTCCACCAGCTACGGTTAAGTTCAACTTTCAGAAGAGAGATTATCCTGAGAACTTCTTATGGTGCCATTAAACCTCCCAAAATTCCAGTGAACGTTGTTGTAGGTGTTACGGTATCAAATCCAATTAGTGTTTTCAGTTTCGTTAGAAAACTTCCCCTGTGACCCAGACACTTGTCCAAGTCTGAAGGCCATAGGATTTCAAGCCATATTTTGAAGATTTGCGCTACTTTCCAGATGGAAAGTCCCCTAGTTGTGGGGGTCCATGGCCCCTTAAATCATGTTTGGTTATCAGAAAATGAACTGGGGATTTTTAGAAGAACAACTGCTCCAAACGAATCAACTCGTAATGAAATACTCATTGAAAATGTTAAGTGGGGCACGTCAATATACAACGATGAGTTTATGAGACGCCTTGCTAAAAGTTCCTTCGGTAGGCTAAAAATATTTTAAGCCTAATTTTAAACAGAGGTGTTTTCGGCACTTCAAAAATGTTCGGAGCAGAACTCGTAAGTTTGGTTGTTAAAATATTCCCCTTCAGATTTATCACCCACAGCATTCAATACAGAGCTGCCTTAGCTGTGTGTTCAAATGAAATTTTCACATTTCTAAGTAATTTAGCATACTTTAATCCTCTCAGAACTTTCAGCAGGTTCGGATGAGGCAAGGGCAGCTCATCTAATTGCCCAAGGTAATCTGATTCAGACATTGGAGCTCTTGTGGCATCTTGCAGAACTGATTTTTATCCAGGTATGTTCACTTTATACGAAAAATATTTTCTTAACTGCCTTCATGTACTGTTAGATTACTCTATTTTATTTTTTGTTACTCGTTTGTGGAATTCAGTAATTCTACATCACATCGCTTGGGTCGGACTGCTGGCTAATAAATTTACGGACTAGTTTCATATTATCATCTGATCCTCGATAATTGTATATACATTTAATCGCATATCAACACTTCTTAGCTGCACAAAAGTTCACCAACCAAACCTCAACCGTGTCTATGGTTTAAAATAGAAGTGAATCTCAGGTGTTTCCTGAAATAATAGTCTTCTAATTACGTTAATTAAGAATTCAACCTCATTTAGAGTGATGTTTTCTCCCTCTGAATGAGAAATATTGCTTCCTGAATGGCCCGAACCATAGCATAGATTGGTCATAGGGAATGAAGTGGTTGAGTATGTCGACCACTACACTTATCTTGTGAGCCTAGTTAATGCTAACTGGTTGGTTCCTGACGAAATCTCAGCCAGGATGTAGAAAGCTCTCTTGGTTTTTGTCACTTCACATCACATGTGATACAAGCGAGATGTCAGTCAATCAAAGAAACGGTGAGTATTCTGTACATCGATTTGCATCGCATTCTTGTGTGGATGTGAAACATGTACTATGAAAGTAGAAGATATGTGTAGTGTGCGGGTGCTTTGTGATGGATACATTATGAGACAACTGATTGAGGTATATTGTGGTTAAACACAGGGTACTATAGAAAGGTAGTAAATCGATTGATGAGATTGTGAATGTCGGTTAATTGAGTTGGTTGGATGATACATTACATATTTTTAGCCAATATCTACCTCAACGGGGAATTTTAGATAGCGTAAGAGTAGTTTGAAAGAAGTGATGACTGATCAAACCTAAACGCAACATCAGTTCATG